CCTTCTTGTTGGAAGTAACTCATCAATATAACTAGCGCTTGTTACAAAAACAATTAGCAAAATTTGAATTGTACTATTTCTTGTATCACCTTTTTCCTCATGTAGTCCAAAGCCAAAAGCAGTATTTCATCAGTTCTGTTAATGTCAAACACCTTGCAAAGTCCAAAATATTGTTATTATTTCTGTAAAAACTGACTTATCTTGAAAGCCAATTGTTATAGCTTTATAGTATTTACTTTATCTTCTGAGGTAGTGGTGTGAGTAATGATCTCATTTTTTTCTTAGAAGATCCGGTCTGTATTCTGGATTTTACATTTTTTAATGAGTAATGTGAAGTGATTTCTGCTGCCATAGATGTTTTGAGTACTAAGAATTTCTTGGTTCTTTCTTCTCCTATTCAGTTTTTTTTTTATTTACACAGATGACCTCTAGGAAATCAGCAAACAGACTTTTTTCCTGGGAACTGTGCTTCCCTCCCTTCCCCCAAAGTTCTGTTGTTTGGAAAATCATGAACCACTGTTTGAACTAGAAAGATTTCCAACACACCTTCTCACTACTGCTGTATTTTGAAGGTAGTTTAAAAAGTGTAGAAGATAGGTTTGCCAAAAGAATCAGGTTCAACTAAGAAAATATGTACACTGCTTTGACTCAGTAAACTCATACTCAGTATGGTTCATCTTCTTCATATTTACTTTTGCCCATATTAGAAAACAATTAGCTTACTAAACAAATTTGAGTATTTGGGAAGAAAAAAATCTACTTTGAGTCTCTCTCATTTGACTAAGAATTACATGATATTTGATAAGCTTGTTTAAAAATGGACATATCCAAATATTATTGTAAACACCCATTGATTTGTTTTACCTGCAATATAAGTATTTTACTTAGTTGGCTTACATAGTAGCTAATAATATTTGTTAATGTAATTTAACTGCTGTGAACCTTTACTGAACAAATATTGAAATTTATACAAGTCAAAGAAAGAGAATCTCTAATGACTTTTGTAAAAGCTTCCATTTAATAGTTAAGGAGAAAAGTTTATATGACATACCAGATGCAATTAACAGTAGATTTTACATTTAATAAAAAGAAAGAAGCATATGTATTTGCTTTATTCATTCCATCATAATTTGCATTAGAGCTGTGGGTGTTTAATGAGCAAATTCCAGCTAAAATGCTATATTGATTTTCTAAGTGAACTTTGTAATAGCTATCTACCTTACAAAAGCTCTCTGTTTACAATTGTTTTCTTTACTAAAAACTAAAAATGTTTTAGAATTGATGAGTTTAGCATAATGATTCTTTTAAAATAAAGAGCTCTTTTAGAGTATGCCAGGGTTTTAGTTACAAGGAGAAAGATGTTATTAAATTATTCCAAAGCAAATAAAGTTTATGCAACTAAATAATAATGTCATATTTGTGTATATTACAATGTTTGCAAGCATTGGAGAAGAATCCTTTTTTCTTAATTTAGCACTATGGTATTTAAATATTTTAACTCTTGAATGTAATTATATGTATATGAAATAGTAAATGACACAATTTATTTTAACTTAATACTTGACTATTCATACTTCATTTTTCTGTGTCATTTTCTTGCTTGAAACATGAGTTCTATACGAATTTGTGTTTCTTATTGGTCAGGTCTCAAGATAAACAGGATAGGGTTGGTTGGTGCACCATTGGAAGGTCTCCAAGAAAAACCTCGTGGTGTCAACCAGAGCAGTTGGTGACTAAGTGGCTGGATCACTTTTTTCATTGGATCAGGCATCAAGTCAGTGTGCCAGTGTGGGGCTAGTATTTTGCTGGATATTCCATATCTTGAATGGGACTTAGGACCCTGACTTGTTACTCTCAATTAATTTTCACCTGTCATTTTTAAGAAGTATAGGGATGGTAATCTGGATATTCTTTACTCTTTTTAGTATAGAGGATTTTTATGTCATTTCTCTCATAGACTTTTCATTGGACAGCTTATACTTCACATTCTTTACTAAATATGACACAAAATGTTTGGCTGGTTGTTGCATTGCAACCCAAAGGTGTATGTGTTTCAGTGGCATATTTGAAGAATCCTTACAGTCCTGAACTTTTACTTGTGAGTCATCCATAGCTCAGTCTGAGTGGTAAACGTTATTGTTAAAAATGTCATACTTCGGACTAGCTGCAATGGTGTAACTGTTATAATATTCCATATAGTGTTAAAAAAAATGAATTAGTAAAATATTAGAGTCATAAATGTATAGGCATTGGATAACAGAAATGTCTAACCTAAATGCAGCAGAAGCTTTGACTGGTAAAGGAATCAGGTAAGTTAGCCTTCTGTAGACTATTGGTTATAATTACGCAGACAAGGAATTAGATATGCCAAAACACAGTCCCTCTAAGTGTACTTGTATGCTGAAGATCCATTGTAGCAGTCAGCAAACTGTGGTTTTCCATGCTGAGGTGGGGATGTTATAAGATCTAACAGAAGGAGGGATGCGCTCAGAGACCAGAAAAAAGTTAACTAATCTGGAAACTAATTAACTCCAGAACAGTAATAAGTGCTGAATCTTCAGTAATTTTAGACAGCTTTCTATTCATTCCAGCAATTGTTTTCATTATGAAAATTGCATAATGTTTCCACTTGCAGCTTTATGGGAAGGATTCTCTGTGCAGTGTCTCTGGCATGATGCTAGGTAAATTGACGTAATTTACTGGAAAAACCATAGTAAGCAAATATAGCCAGGTACAGATAGGTAATAATTACCATACAGAACTAAACTGTTTGTGTATTCCAGATCCAACCAGGATATAGCAGTTGCATTGTAGTTTACCCAGGCAGTCAATGCTGTGAGGCACTAGCTTCCCTGCCATCACAGACCTCAGCAACCGAAGCCGAAGTCTGATGAGCTGAATTGCACAGCCCACCTCATACAATTTGTTCTTGTTCTTGCTGAGCCACCTACTGTTGCAGATACCGGACTCATCCTCTGCAAGTGCTGCAAACTTATTCCTGACTACCAGTCTGTGCACATGCAGTTTTGCAGCTGCTTTACTCATGGCTTAGTTTTTCCATTCTACATCAAGCAAAGCTTTCTCGCTGCAAACAGGGGAAATAGATATTCAAGAAAAAAGACACTATTCTTGTGGAACAAGTAAATGCTCAAATAGAAGAGAATTAAATCAGTGTGTGTTAAATTTTGTGTACGTTTCAAGATTTGTGCTTCTGATGCCGAATTTCTTCTTTTTTTCTTTTTTCTTTTTTTCTCTTGGGATGCAACTTGTTGCAGCTCAGGTCTGATGACTAGGCTTGCAGCTCCTCTGCAGATTTTCGTGAGTGGAGGGACTGCATTTCCGGAAGTAACATTTAGCCTTTCCCTTTCTTCTTTTGTCCAGTCTGCTGTTACCATGCAACCTTTTGCTAGACCTGCAAAAAATGCTTCCTTATGCCTCAGTAACAGCCTTCTTCCCAGCTTCAGGACAAAAGGATTGCTTTCCTACTATGAACATCTTCCTAATTCACCTCTCTGGATTCTTCTTCTGTTCAACTGTTCACTCGTCTTACATCCCTGGTTATGTGAGCTGCTTGTGAACTGCACAGAAACTTACCACTTTCTGTATTTCAGTTGCTTGTGGAGTTTTGGATTTTTTTCAGTACTGATAAAGTGTATATTGTCCCAGCAGTATAGCTCCTACCAAAATGTACTACAGTTTTCCTGTTGTTCCATTCTGTGAAGAACCATAAAATGTTTTATCTTACATCACACTTTGAAGATTTTGTACAATGATGTACAAAGGTGAAGTAAGAGTAAACTGATGTATAAAAGCAGCAAAGTTGATGTCAGTTGTGGTAAGCATGGAGGGATAAAAGCTCTAGGCTGAAGTGAAGAGAGAAGAAGCCTTTCTTTGAAATCTTAACTTAATGACTTAAGTGGTGGTTCAGAGAGGAGCGGAGAGTTCTGAAGGAGGTAAGGAAACCCAGCAGAAATGGCTTACTACAGAAGGTTCTTGAGAAATAAATGTGAAACAGTGTTAGGAGGCTGTGGCTAAACACCAGCTTGGCAGACTAGAAGGGGAGCATGGAGAATTTGGAAGCTACAGACCTCAGCTGGAGGTGCCGGTGACAATCGAAGAAGGTGTAGTCCTCTGTCTTGGAGTGACAGTGGTTTTACTATGGCATCCTGAAAGTCCCTAGGCAGGGTTTTATGGTGACTGTGAGGAGAGATTTGCAGTATTGTGGAGAGAAATTACGAAAGTATGAATAAAGATTTTAGTGGAGGCAGGGTCGAGGTAAGGATTCTGGCAGTGTGCCAGAGATGGTGTTAGACATATTGACAGGGGAGAGACAGGAAGAAAACGTAAGCTCGGGATGAGGAATGACTTGAAGGTGTTAGTTTGCTCCCAAGGATAGACAGTAAATCTTAGTTTATTGGCACCTAATGCTCCAAGGTCCATGTATGCTGTAACAGATAATATAACAGTATATTACACAATAAAGTAAAGGCTTGGCAGAGAAGGAGAGATGCCAGCTGTGCCACTCTTGTGATACCAGAGGCAGACTATGAAAATACTAGAATTTTTAATATTTAATATCATTGTGCCACCCTGATAGGAAGCAGTGTGATGGTAGAAGTCGTTTTAATGGATCATTACTTTTAACTCCATGTCCTAGAAGAAACCTACTAGAGTCTCATATGATTCTGAGCTTTAAGAATTACTTTTCTATTAAGCAAGTATTCAGAATGAAAAGGAAATCACTTCCTTGCCCTGTTTGATTATACAAGGGTGAATTTGAAAACACATAACTTTATTTCATTCCTTAAAGTATTCATTTTAGCAATCAACAGCCATTTAGTGTTATGTCTGAAGAGTAATATAGACCTTACCCAAAGTTAATCCGAGGTCAGTGGAGAAATGTTGATTTTAGGAGATGCTGGCAAAGGCCCATGTAAGTGCATCTAATAGTGTCTTTCCCTGTCAAACTTGTTTGTTAAACATACTGGGTACTTTTGCAGCTCTGGTTGAAGAAGTTTATTCTGCTCAACGGGAACGTGACGAGGCTGTCATGGCAAGGCTTAGGTTAGCCAATGAAGAACGGGATGAAGCATTTCTACGAGTCCAGCGTTTAGAAGAGTCTCTCAAAGAGTAAGTACACATTTCCTGCCCTCTGCAAAAAGGTCCTTGTGTCAGTCTGTGACTGTCATAAACCGCTCAACAGTGCTTATATAGGAAGACTTAGCACAAACTTCTCTATGATGAAATACCAGCTTAGTGCTAGTCTTACTGTGCTGTTGGTGAATTTGTTAGCCATCTTGTAAGACCGTATTTTTCTCTGGAGACTGAAAGCAAGGTGAATAATTTTAATCACAAAAACTAAAAACATAATCAAAAGCTTTGGTATTGATAAATAAGACAAATGCCACATTTTATAGGGATCTTTTGACACGGAGTACCAGAATGTCAATCAGAAGTTGCAATGTATAGGAAATCAATCAAGTCTTTAAGCTCACTAGACATTTCCTTCAGCAAAATTTCTACTGATTATGTGGGTGATGTAGTAAAAATATATGTGTGTTTTCTTATCTCTAGTGTAGGACCAGTTTGTAAGGCAATAAGGGTATAATTAATACTTCATAGAGTTTTGTGTATGCCATGTTAACACAACAGAAATAGACAGTCTCATGTTAAACAACTGTTAAGTCAGGAGAGGAAGATCAAGAACGGTTTCTTTTCTCACTTAGGGATATAGGCAGCTCTGAAGCTACAATGCGCCTCTCCATGTAATCCTTCTCCACCAGAGTTGTGATCATCTTGGTTGACATCTGTGGTAGTCCCCCAGAGTATAGAGTGGCTGAGAAATTGCTCCTATTTTTCTCCCAAGAAAAGTACAAAAGCAAACAGAGATGTTTTTTGTGGTAAGAGACATAATAGGTGCAGTTGTTATGTAAATGGCAGGCAATTATGTTTTAAATAATTGATTCTTCTAAGAACCCTCTTTCTTCTTTATGGCAGAAAACCAGCCATCTTCTTTTGGGTACCTTTGCAGATAAGGCCAGAGAATGTTTTCTAAACAAATTTCAGTTATCTGCACATAGTTTGTGCACCATTACTCTGTGGAATTAACAAGTTGCTACAGTTTGTCACAGCCTGTAAGTATGACTCAACAGCAAGATTAGGAGATTCCATTCCCACAAGAATTAGTGCACAATTTGTTAGAGTAAATGTCTCTACAGAGCCCATTATAGGTGTATGTGCATCTGAAATCTTACTTTGAGCAGCAATCTCTGAAGAAATTACAAATGTGCTTTAAATTCCCATAAGAGGCATCACAACTGTGAGCCTTACTCCAGTCTTCCCAATTTCTTCTGTCATTCATCTTCCAAGAATAAAGCAAGCAAGAAAGTTTTGTGTGGCCCCAAATATCATATGAAACTGTGTTTAGGCTGTTAGCAGAAACTCAAGATCTTTGGGGTTAAAGCGCTCGAGTCCTGCAGCAAATTAGTTATTCTGGTCAACAGACCTAGTCAATGACTTTTGGGTTTCTGGAAGAAATCACAGGTTATTAAGTGTGCGTAAGGCATATTGCTGCTTTTTCTGCAGCGGAACCCATAGATAGATGTGTTGCAGGCCTTGACACACATGAATCCCTTGGAACACCATTATTTGTTTTCCCTTCAACCCCTTTTGTCTGCTTCCCTCATGTACTGGAAGACCAACTCAGTTCTAAGCAGAAGGATGGGGAAAGAAAAGAAACTCCATTTCTTGGAGAACATGCGTACTACTTTCCCCAAAAGAATGTCATTGCAGAAGGTACTGGATACACTGGTAATGACAAAAAAGGTACTTGTTCCAAAGAGAGATTCAGTAGCTCCCTTGGCTGATAGCTTGGAGCCAAGCTATTATACCTTATTGCTATCATTTAGAGAATAGCAATTATTCTTGCTGTCATCCACTTCAGTGCTCTTTCTGATGCTTTATAGAGAGGCCTGACACACTGATTGCCATTCAGAGTCTCAGAATGGGCATAGGAGACGTTCCAGTGTAGAACATCAACCCAACACAGGTTAAAATTGCGATGGGCTAACCAGCTACTGCTGGTTTGATACCTTATATACACTCCTCTTTGTTTAAACCAGCCATTGTCTGTAGCTAGTATCTCTTCCTGTATATTCTGCAAGGGTGCAGGTCAGGCTTCTGTGTGATATTTGCTGTCATGACAGCCAACACTAGGACACAAGACTGGGGACAAACCAGTTTAATTCAAAATAATTGTCCTTTCATGGGCATGTCACTGAGAGCATCCTGGACATGAACAAAATCCTTAGGCAGATCACAAGCAGGCTTATTCCTCCCATAGGACACAACGATGTTGCGGAAGGGTTCTGAAAAATGTTACAAGCTTTTATTTTCATTGATGGTTTCAGTGTCAGTCATCAGAGCAGTAAAAGAAAAGTCCTGATTGACAAAAGCCACCAGAGTGGAGAGCCCAAAAGCTTCATTTGTTCCCACTGTAAAGTTTGTTAATCAGCCTTGCAGCAAGTAATGGGCATTAATTGCTAAATGTAATCCCCTGAAGGGGAAACTCATTCTTTATATTCAAGTAATCATCAAGTTCACTGCATCAGATGTCTTCATATCTGCCTCTTCCTTACCTTGCTACCCATTTGGCCAAACTGGAAGCTTGATTGGAATGTCTTAAGCCATATCAGATAATTTAAGAAACCTCAAAGATGTCTTGCTCTTTTCCACCAATTCATACTCAGTATTACCTCAGCCCACAGTGACTGCATCCATTTGCACAACCTGACCAAGGTCAAGCTGACCACAGCTCTTCTCTGACCCATATCAGTCCTCTATGTGACAACACCTTCTGGAGAATGTGGTATTTCTTCCAAAAAGAGCAGTGGTATGGTACAGGGAAACATTTCCTGTTGTGATTATTGGTTTGTGGGGGTTGTGTTCTTTTTTTTAAAGAAAGTTCTTCACTGTTTTTTAAGTCTCTGGGCATTACAGAAACAAGGTGGCAGGATTGCCTCCATCAGGCTCAGCTGCTTTTCTTCTGGTCCACTTATTCTAAGTTTACAGGTATGGCTGCATGAATAACCTTTCATCTTGCAAACCAGAAATGGTTGAGTGGA